AGGAAGCCACAGGCAGTAAACATTTCCTTTCCCCAGGGTAACTGATGCTGGTACTGAAGCCCCTATCACTCCAAGAGCTCTCAGTCTCGGTGTCCTCCACCCCTATTCCTCAGGACCCGGCCTTCTCCTTCCTCCATTCTCATCCTCTGGCCCTCCTAGACCACTCCTCACGCCCCACTTCAGTCCCTTGGAGCTGCTGCCTCTGGCGTTCCCTATTCCTCTTGGACCCCATCCCTCTGACCCCTCCCACACTGGGTCCTCTTGGAAGACACCCTCACTTGGGTGACCTCTGCCATAATCCCGACTTAGGCACTTTTTCCTGGTAAGAAAGGCTGAAGAAGGTATCCTAAAATCAGAGCATGTGTGAGTATTGGGAATGCTGAAAGTTGAAAGGGGACAAAAATCGATAGAGATGGAGAAGCCCAAGATCTGAGATCAAGAGAGAGGGAAGATTCGAAAACTGCAACGAAGAGAGCAAGCAGTCACACACAGGGACAGAGGAACAGAGAAGTTGAGAAGCGGTGTCAGAGGCAGGTATGGGAGGAGAGCAGAGGCCAAGACTGGCAGGGACATTAGCCCAGGAGCCTGGTCCAGCTGCCCCAGATGCCAAATGCAGTCCTCATGGGAGATCTGGAGGAGAAAGCCAAGAAGGCTGACAGCTGTGTGGAGACCTCAGAGGCAAGGAACCCAGGAATGGCTGAGGCAGAGCCAAAGGTAGAAAGATTGCCCAAAGACCTTAACTGTGACCACTCCATTACTTATTACACCCAGCAAAGGTAAACCTCTCCTCGTCATCTCAGGGAGAACTGAGGGACCATGTCCAGAAGTAAGACCCCCAGGAGAGCAGGGTCCGAATTTAGGCTCCTAGAGATGATGTGTAGGAAAGGGGCTCAGGCCTGAGAGACAGAGACCCGGCCGGGATGGGGAAGTCCACAGCAGAGCCCAGGGTGAACACAGGCTCAGGCCCAGGAGAACGATCTGTTTTCACCATCCTCCAGTTCCTCTCTCCACTTCTACTGCCTGATTTCCGAGACTCACATTTTCCTCCTACACGCCCCAGGGCTGGGCAGCCGGACGCCTGGGTCTTGGCCCAGAGAAAGGCTTTGGCTTAGGACAAGAGGGTACAGGCTGGGTGAGAGGACCCTGAGTTCCAAGGCTGTGCACCCAATCTTGGCAGGTCCATAGGGGAGATGGAGAAGCTGGGGCCGGAACCTCTGGCCTCTCTTCCCCTTCCCAGAACTGACTCTGGCTCTTTCTCTCTTTAATAACAGGGGGAAGGTAGGAGAAGAGAGAGAGTGGCAGAAGGAGGGGAGGGGTTGTGTTAGTGACAGCAGCACATGGGGACCGCCTGACTCCAGCCCGTGCCTCTGGCATCCGTGGTATCTTCTGAGATATAAATACAACCCGGGGGGCATCTACCCCACCCCCAGCCAGCCTCTGGCCCAGACGCCTGGGTCCTTCCTGTCTTAGGAGACCGGAGAAGAGCTAAGAGTCACCCTGAACTGCCTCTCCTTTCCCTTCCACAGGGTCAGTGTGCTGGTGGGAGCACCCAAGGCTAACACCAGCCAGCCAGGAGTGCTGCAGGGTGGTGCTGTCTACCTCTGTCCCTGGGGCACCAGCCTGGCACAGTGCACCCCTATTGAGTTTGACAGCAAAGGTAACCAACCCCCTTGGTAGGCCTGGGAAGTTCAGGGAGGGCCTGGGGGGGTTGGAGCTGCGGCTTCTAGGCAGCCCCGGGTGGTGCCTGGAGCGTGGGGTAGAGCCTGCCCAGTTCCTTGGCCACGTGCCCGCCCAGCGCTCTGATGCTCTGGTGGTGCTCCAGCTCTGTGCAGCCGTGCAGCGGCTCCCTGTGGCACTCACACCACGTTCCCAGTCCGGCCCAACCCAAGGAGGGCGGGCATGATTCAGAAACATGTGGCTCTCATTTCCCCTGAATCACCCACAACTCAGGGAGGCCAGGGCAGTAACACAGACAAAGACAGGGAGAGCCACACAGACTATTTGATTCATTTAACTAAGCACTGACTAAGTGATTCTGCATGCCAGGCACTGTGCTGGGGCTGTAGGGGATTGAAACATGATTTAGCCACTGCCTTCAAGGAGCTCAAGATCCGGAGTAGATGCAGAGATGAAAGGGAGAGAGATGGAGACAAGAGATAAACAACAATAACAAGTAACACTTCAAGTGCAATTGCTCTGTGCCCAGCACTGTTGTAAGCATTTTCCCTATCTTAACTCACTGAATCCTTTATGAGGTATTGTCCCCATTTTATAGGTGAGGAAATAGGGGTTAAGTAACTTGTCCATGGCCACACAGCTAATAAATGGTGGAGCGAAGACATGAAGTTGAGCAGTCTGGCTCCAGAGATAAAGACTGGAATGAGGGGAGAGAAAGAGGAGAGCCTAGGAAGGTGAAGACCATGAGTCGGGGATAAGGGCAGAGCTCTTTTTTTTTTTTTTTTTAAACCTGAGAGTCCGATGAGCATCAGAGAAATAAAAAAAGCTGTCCTACAGGACAGAGCTAGGATTTGGGAAAAGAGAGACAGACAGATGCACAGAGAGAGAGAGACATACGGGGACAGCAATCCAGAGACGTGAGAAAGGTCAAGAAAGGAACAAAGTGCTTAAAGACACAGGCCTAGGTGCAGAGAAGTGCAGCCAGAGGGTTACAGAGTCCGATGAGCATCAGAGAAATAAAAAAAGCTGTCCTACAGGACAGAGCTAGGATTTGGGAAAAGAGAGACAGACAGATGCACAGAGAGAGAGAGACATACGGGGACAGCAATCCAGAGACGTGAGAAAGGTCAAGAAAGGAACAAAGTGCTTAAAGACACAGGCCTAGGTGCAGAGAAGTGCAGCCAGAGGGTTACCTGCTGGAGAAATGGCCATTCTTCCCCCACTACCCTCCTGCCCTCACCTCACCGCGAGCATCCTTGGCCCAGCTGGACCAGGAGAAGGCAACTCTAGAAACCCCAGGTTCTGTGTATGCACACATGTAACTGTGTGTGTGCATGTGTGCGCGTGTGTGTGTGTGTGGAGAAGGGTGAGTCAGACTACACGAAGCAGTCTAAAGACCCTTCCCCACTCTCCCTCCCAGTGCGTCATGGGACTCAAGGCTTTCAAGTATTTGGGTGTCCTCAGGCTGAGGGTGGAGGCCGTGCCAGGGCCCACTGCCCGCATGACTCCCCTTTCTCACTTCCCAAGGATCTCGGATCCTGGAGTCCTCACTCTCCATCCCAGAGGGAGAGGAACCTGTGGAGTACAAGTCCTTGCAGTGGTTTGGAGCAACAGTTCGAGCCCATGGCTCCTCCATCTTGGTGAGGGGCCAGCAGGCTCAGGAGGGTGGTGGCTAGGAAATGGGCAGTGGTTGGGTATAGTGGAGAGAGGAAGAGGGGTTCCCGTTGGACTAAACTTGAAGCCCCCTCCTCCCGGACCTTCCCAGGCCTGCGCTCCACTGTATAGCTGGCGCACGGAGAAGGAGCCTCTGAGCGATCCCGTGGGCACCTGCTACCTCTCCACAGACAACTTCACCCGAATCCTAGAGTACGCACCTTGCCGCTCAGGTAGGGCAAGAGGGGGCACGTGCCTGCGCCTGCCTTCCCTATGCAAGTCCCCACAGCCCTATTAGCTTTATGCTCACTGTGTGTCCGGGGAGGTCCTTCCTCGTGTTCTCTCCCCCACCTCCTTCCCCCATTTCTTCTTTCCTGCGTGACCCATGTGTGCAGGCATCCTTCCCACCACCTCCTCCCCTCACAGATTTCAGCTGGGCAGCGGGACAGGGTTACTGCCAAGGGGGCTTCAGTGCCGAGTTTACCAAGGTGAGAAGGTGATCTGGGAGGGAGGTGGTCGTGGGTGGTGAACAAAGAGGGATCCGGACCAGATGAAGACTCACCTCCTTCCCCCCACAGACTGGACGTGTGGTCCTGGGTGGACCAGGGAGTTATTTCTGGCAAGGTAAGTCCTTCCTCTGCTGTCCCTTAGGCTCCTGGCACAAGGCCTCTCTCTCATCCTTGCTCCCAGCCTGAGATCACCACCCCAGTTCCCTCCCTTTCTTGAGACTTACATGTCCTCTCCCACCACCTTCCACAAGCTTCCCTTCCTTGAACCAGACTTCTGAAATCCTACCCAGTAATCCCCCAGTGCCCCGCTCTCTTCCCTCCTCCGTCCATCCCTTCCTCCTCCCCTTCCCCAGGCCAAATCCTGTCCGCCACCCAGGAGCAGATTGCAGAATCCTATTACCCCGAGTACCTGATCAACCTCGTTCAGGGGCAGCTGCAGACTCGCCAGGCCAGCTCCATCTATGATGACAGCTATCTGGGTGAGTTTGCAAGTGGGAGGAAACTCGGGTACTCCTGTCCTTGTTCACGCCCTTGCCTCCCTTCTCTCACTTAGGCGTCCCCAGTCCCTCTGCCATATTTGTCACGTGCAGGCTGACTGTGAAGGCATGGGAAAGGGATCGGAGGATGGGCCAGGGAAGACAGGGCCCCAAAGCAGGAAAGCTAACATCTACCCGCCCTGTCCCCCAGGTTACTCTGTGGCCGTGGGTGAATTCAGTGGTGATGACACAGAAGGTGAGTGTGTCCCAGGCTGGGGCCAAGAAAAGGGATAAATGGAGACCAGGGCCTGCGGCCACAGGGCCATGGGAACTGAGACACTTACCATTCTTCTCTGACTCCCCTTTCCCCACCCTTAGCCCACAACTTTCTCTTCTCTTTGCAGACTTTGTTGCTGGAGTGCCCAAAGGGAACCTCACCTATGGTTATGTAAGACCCAGCCCGACCCTCTCTTTCTCCTCTCCCCTCCCCGCCCCTGGCTAATCTCACACACACACACACACACACACACACACACACACACACACACACACACACGGCATGGCAGTTTGTGAGGGTTCAAAAGTGGATCAGAGCTCGGGCTCTGGAGTCAGACCTGGGTTCAAGGTCTAGCACTTAATCCAGATAAATTGTTCTTTTATTCGTATTCCGCCTTGTTTTGTAAAAACCATGAGCCTACTTAACCTCTCTGAGCCTCATTCTTCTCTCTATAATGGGATAATAATAGTTCTGAACTCACAAGGCTCTTGTGAGGATGAAATGAGATAATGCATGTGAAAGTGCTCAGTGAACTGTTAGGCAGTGTACAACTGATAGCTGTTATTATTAGACCATGACAAAAGCTTTAAAAAGGATACAGATAAGAATGTCATAGGAGTTCATGCAATTAACATTTATTAAGGCAAGGTAAGAGATAAGAAGATGAATAAGACATATCCCATCTCATAAGGTGCTTCTAATCGAGTATGTAAGATAAGGTACATACAACCTTGGTGCATCAGGCACTGTCCATTCATGATTTCTATTCTTCATAACAAGTTGATGAGGATAGTTATTACCATGCACATTTGACACACAAGGAACCTGAAGCTCTAAGAGGCCAAGTAAGTTATTTAAGATCACCCTGTTGGTAAGTGGCTGGATAGAGATTTAAAACTAGATCTGTCTTATTCCAAAGTCAGCATTCTTTCTGCATTATGATGAATTTCAGAAAAGTGTTTAAGATGGTATAGCAGTTTAGGGAAAGGAATAACCTCCTTTCCAGGGCAGGTATGGATCAGAGAAGGTTCTGTGAAGGATCAGTGGAGATGAGTTGAGAGGGCATCCTTAGGCAGGAGCATGAAAAAAGACACGGAAGAAAAGAAAAAAAATTCAGGCCGGTTTAGCAGACTCGTGGGCTGATTGAGGATAAGGAGAATAAGGAAAGGCTGAGCAAAAGCAGATAGGTTGGGGCCAGTTATCCAGGGCCTCAGAGGACCAGCCAAGAAGTTGAGACTTTGGGCAGCGGCTGCAGGGAACCACCGTGGGTTTCCGAGCCAGTGGTGTCCCTCCCAGATCTACTTGAGGGCGATCAGTCCATCTGCCACAGCGAGGACAGGGACATCCTGAGGCAGGGAGACAGCCAGCAGGCTGGCTCTCTAGCAGTCCTGTGAGAGGGCTCCCACCAGAGTAATAGCCATGAAAGTGGGGAAGAGAGCAAGGAGTCAAAAGACTGATGGGGCCAGCCACTACGGAGGACATAGGGGAGACATGAGTGTTTGGTTTGGGACGGCTGGAGGATGGGAAATGACTCAGGCCTCGGTGTGCATTCAGTCATTCAACTAATAATTACTAAGTGTCTAGTGCTTACCAAGCACTACTTTAGGCTCTAGGGAGAAAGCAAAGAACAAAACCAAGCTCCTATTGATCTTCCGTTCTGGTAGGTAGAGATAGACAATAAACAGATAAATATGAACTCTGACAGTAGTGGACAAGTGATATTAAAAAAAAAAAAAAAAAAAATGAAGTAGCTGTGAGACCGAGCTACTGACATAGAGATGGGAATGTGAGGGCAAAGCTCAGGAGGGAATTAGTGGTCTGCGTCACTGAGGCATACCTGCTCCTAGGTAGCCTGTACCCATTTGCCCTCCAACCATGGGATAGCCTGGGAGTCTGGGGCCAATGGCATATCTCCTCATCCTCAGGTCACCATCCTTAATGGCTCAGATATTCGATCCCTCTACAACTTCTCAGGGGAACAGGTGAGGACACCCCCACCCTCAACCCAGCTTGGCCCTCTGCCAACCAGGCCCCAGTCCTGACCCAATAAGCTCAGCCCAACTTCTCAGTCTCCCTGGAGTCTCTGACCTCCTCCCGTAGCCCCTATTGATCCCGTTGATTGACCCCTAATCCTGACCCAGAGCTGTCCGTCTGTCCCCCATCCCAGATGGCCTCCTACTTTGGCTATGCAGTGGCTGTCTCAGATATCAATGGAGATGGGTGAGTAGTGGCAAAAGGCACACCATGATGCCCAGGAGGGAAGAGTGGGGTGGGACAGAAAAATGCAAGGAGAGTTTTTCTCCAGGCTTTTCCCCCTGGATTCTCCTCACTTGTGCCACATTCTCCTTGCTCAGGGGCAAGGAGAGAGCCTGGAGCTAAGACCAGAAGACATCAGGTCTTCTTACTTGGGTGAGAGGGAGCCTGGGATCCAGGATACATGAGACTTCCTGGCACTAGGATTGGGGAGGAGAGGTAGGAGATTGGGGTGTCAGGATGCCTGGATTTTTCCCCTATGCCCAGGCTGGATGACTTGCTGGTGGGGGCTCCGTTGCTGATGGAGAGGACAGCAGATGGGCGGCCTCAGGAGGTAGGCAGGGTCTATGTCTACCTGCAGCAGCCAACAGGCATGGAGCCCACACCCACCCTCACCCTCACTGGCCATGATGAGTTTGGCCGATTTGGAAGCTCCTTGACACCCCTGGGGGACCTGGACCGGGATGGCTACGGTGGTAAGTAACCATGAACCCAAGGAGCTAAAGAAGACTCAAGGGCCTAAGCCAGAAGGGGTTTGGGAGGAGAGCAAATAAGATAACCAGATCAGCTGGCATTCTCAACCCCCCAGTGACTCTCAGGGAGGTATGTGGACTTTAACCCAATGTCTAGGTCTTGGGGCTTTGAAGAGATTAGAGTGCTGGGAATGACAGATGGGAAAAATAGGATTCCGGGTCCTGGGGTCTGGTGGTAAAGATTTGGACGCCTGGATTCCTGGCCTGCTGACTGATGTGTGTTGTGTGTCTTGCAGATGTGGCCATTGGGGCTCCCTTTGGTGGGGAGACACAGCAAGGAGTGGTGTTTGTGTTCCCTGGGGGCGTAGGGGGCCTGGGCTCTAAGCCTTCCCAGGTTCTGCTGCCCCTATGGGCAGCTGGCCACACGCCACACTTTTTTGGCTCCGCCCTTCGAGGAGGCCGAGACTTGGATGGCAACGGATACCCTGGTGAGTTGTGCCTGAGGCCCCTTTCACCTTAGAATTCCCTGGTCACAGACCTCCAATTCCTCTTCTGCACTTTTCTAAGGTTCTGGCTGCTGTTATGGATGGTGCCACCAGATGGCGCTGTCCCCTCACTTTTGGCCTGGAGCAATGAAACTGCAAGGGGGTTAGGAAGGAAGGCCCCTGACTTGGGGTTTGCTGTAAGGAGTACTTTCTTAACTTCTTGCAGATCTGATCGTGGGATCCTTTGGTGTGGACAAGGCTGTGGTGTACAGGTATGCACTTCTGGGAGAAGTGGGATCTGGGGAATTCTTCAATAGGGCTGAGGTTGGGAAAGTGTATAAAGGACATTGGGATCCTGGGCTTGGGCATCAGCTTCCTGTGCCCAGGTTCCAGAGGAGTTCTAATTCCGTTGACCCCACATCCACTCTTGGCAGGGGTCGCCCCATCGTGTCTGCCAGTGCCTCCCTCACCATCTTCCCCGCTATGTTCAACCCAGAGGAGCGAAGCTGCAGCTTGGAGGGAAACCCTGTGGCTTGGTGAGCTGGGGCCTAGGAAATTGCAAGACCAAGTCTGGGATACTTCACTCTGTGCCTTGGAGTGGGCAGGGAGACCAGGTCTGCAGAAGGAGACAGATGGAGGTGTCCTAGTCAGGGTCTCTCTGGGAGACAGGTGGAGGATAGGATACCTGTTCCAATTGGATACACCAGCTTTCCTCTTGGTCTTCCTCCAGCATCAACCTTAGCTTCTGCCTCAATGCCTCTGGAAAACACGTTCCTGACTCCATCGGTAAAGATTCACTGCCTGAATCTCTCAGGCACTGGGACAAGGGATGGAGGGGCTGGGGACCTGGGCACCTCCTTTCTCTTTGAATAGATTGGGAGGGAGAGACAGATTCTCCTTAACGTATATCCCTGGCTGCAGGCTTCACGGTGGAGCTCCAGCTGGACTGGCAGAAGCAGAAGGGAGGAATACGGCGAGCGCTCTTCCTAGCCTCCAGACAGGCAACCCTGACCCAGACCCTGCTCATCCAGAACGGGGCTCGGGAGGATTGCAGGGAGATGAAGATCTACCTCAGGGTATGGCTTTGAGAAGAGGGTACGGACCGGCTTGGAGAGGGTGGCCACATAGAATTGGGGTCCCTTCCTAAAGGTAAAGAGATGGGGAGATTCTAGTGAAGGGCTTGGGACTTTGGAGGGAGGAAGAAGGGGGCCCTTCTGGTGGAGGAGCTGCAAACCGGCTGCTAGGGCCTCTCAAGTGGTGAATGCGGTCAAGTTTGGACACCTGAATTCTCGAAGGCCCTGAGTGGACAAAAGAAGATGTGAGAGGCTGAGGATCAGAGCCACCAAATCCACAGTGTCCCCTGACTCTGTGAACCCTCTCCCCTGCCCCAGAATGAGTCAGAGTTCCGAGACAAACTCTCCCCAATTCACATCGCCCTCAACTTCTCCCTGGACCCCCAAGCCCCTGTGGACAGCCATGGCCTCCAGCCAGTCTTACATTACCAGAGCAAGAGCCGCATAGAGGACAAGGTGAGGGAAGGGTAGGGAGAAGGAATCCAGGAGGAGACACCTGGGCACCTGGGGGCAGGGTCTTGGGGGAGGTGATGCCAGAGCCCAGGGGAGAGTCTAAACTCCCCCTTTCAAGGCTGCCCTGCTCCCCAGGCTCAGATCCTGCTGGACTGTGGAGAAGACAACATCTGTGTGCCGGACTTACAGCTGGAAGTGTTTGGGTAAGTGAAGGCTCACATCAGGCTAGGGGGTTCTAGATGCCAAGGTCTTGTATCAGGACATATGGAACTTGAAAGTACCTGGAACCTGAAAAAGTACATCAGGGACAGACTAGCTAGCTGTGTGACCTTGGGAAGTTACTTAACTTCTCTGAGCTTCAGCTACTTCATCTTTATAGTGGGAAAAAAATAACATCTGTCTCTCTGGCTTTTGGAATGATTATATGAAATAATTTACACAAAGTGTCTAGCCTAGTGCCTGCCATAGAGTTGGAACTCAGTAAATTGTATCTATTATCATCATCATCATCATCATCATCATCATTGTTATGGCCCATTGTTCTTGTTTAGGAATTAATTCCACAATGTCCCTTACCTTGTGTGCCCCCTCCAGGGAGCAGAACCACGTGTACCTGGGTGACAAGAACTCTCTGAACTTAACTTTCCACGCCCAGAATGTGGGTGAAGGTGGCGCCTATGAGGCTGAGCTTCGGGTCACAGCTCCTCCGGAAGCTGAGTACTCAGGACTCGTCAGACACCCAGGGGTAAGAGGGGATTCAGGTGGAGCTTGGGAGGAAGCCCTGCCAGAGGTGCACCAGAACCTTACCTGCACCCACCCCATCTCCAGAACTTCTCCAGCCTGAGCTGCGACTACTTTGCGGTGAACCAGAGCCGCCTACTGGTGTGTGACCTGGGCAACCCCATGAAGGCAGGAGCTAGTGTAAGTCTGAGACGGGAGAGAGGACCAGAGAGGACAGTCCAGAGTGGAGTCGTGGGATAGAGAAGGAGGGCTGGAACTGAGGTAAGGCAAATGCCCAATCTAACAGCCCTGTCTTCCCTCCCTCTCCCACAGCTCTGGGGTGGCCTTCGGTTCACAGTCCCTCACCTCCGGGACACAAAGAAAACGATCCAATTTGACTTCCAGATCCTCAGGTATGAGCAGGTGGGGCCAGGCTGCGGCTGAGTTGGGGGCGGGGCCTGGACCATCGGAACCCTCCCTGCCTGGGCTCCAGCACCATCTCAGTCTCTCCATCCCACAGCAAGAATCTCAACAACTCGCAGAGTGAAGTGGTTTCCTTCCGGCTCTCAGTGGAAGCTCAGGCCCAGGTCTCCCTTAACGGGTCAGTGGCCAGGCGAAATGGGGCCTCGCTGGGAGGGGAGACAGACTTTTAAGAAAGGATGCATATTCCACTGTCTTCTAAACCACCCTCCTCCTTAGTGTCTCCAAGCCTGAAGCAGTGCTATTCCCAGTGAGCGACTGGCACCCCCAAGACAAGCCTCAGAAGGAGGGGGACGTGGGCCCCGCTGTACACCACGTCTATGAGGTGAGGAGGGATAGAAGCAGGAAGGGCTAGGTCCAGGGCAGGTGACAGGGAGCGGAGGGGTGGGACCATAATAAATGACAGGAAAAGAGGAGCTAGTGTGAGTGACAGATGGCTGGGGCCAGAATGAGAGGGACTGAGAGGAAGAGAGGAGGGAGGGAGAGTGACATGTAAAAGCCCCAGCAGGGTCAGGGAGAAAGACAGCTAGAGGAGAGACAGGCCAGTTGAGTGTCTTGGAAGGGAAGATGGAGCCACCTCCATGAGTGTTGTCTGGAGAGGATTTCATCTCTGCCCTTCGATTTCTTCTTCAACTCCTGAGATCGGAGACTTACAGCAGGGTATAGCGGGCCATGGTGACGCAGGATCTCAGTCAGGCAGAACCGTTCCCTTCCTTCTAGTGATGATCGTGCTCTCCTCTCCTCAGCTCATCAACCTGGGCCCCAGCTCCATTAGCCGGGGCGTGCTAGAGCTCAGCTGCCCCAAGACTCTGGAAGGGCAGCAGCTCCTCTACATGACCAAGTTTACAGGACTCAGCAATTGTACTGCCAGTCACCTCCCCAACTCAGAGCACCTGGAGGTGAGGGGCCTGGAGACAGGCATGTGGGAGGGACCAAGGCTGAGGGGTTGGGGGAAGGTCCCCGGTGGCCTGTAAGAACCAATGAGGATGTGCTTGAAGCTAAAACTTAGGCCCCTGGAAGGAATCGAAAGGCCCACAGATACCTCAAGGCTCTAGGAAGGAAAAAAGTTCCCTTATGCACTGCACTTCTATCTTTCTGCCTGAAATATCCCTCCCTTCTTGCTCCGGCATGGTCTGAGAGTCTAGCTCTGCACCACTTCCTTCAGACCTGTTCCCCTGGGCCCCAATGCCTATTTACTCATTAACAACATTTAATTCAATGAGTATCTGTACTGAACCCTGTTATAGGCTCAGGAAATACCACATCGAACAAAACTAACAAGGTACTCACTCATGGAGCTTACATTTTAGTGGCGTGTAATAGATAATAAAAATTAAAAATAGAGATTAACAGGTACTTAAAAGTGATAAAAATGCAGTGCTAACATGCTGGGGTGTGCGGAGACTGGAGACAGTTTGAGTCATCAGGAAAAACCTCTTGAGGTAACAATTGAACTGAAGCCTGAAAGACAAGGACGAACCTGCTTGTGAAGACTTGGGGGAGAGCATTCCAAGAAGAGGGAACAGTCAGTGCAAAGGCCCTAAGGCAGGGACGGGGTCCTAATTATTCGTTTACACATCTCTTCCTTGTAAACTCTAAGGTCCAAGTCTTATTTGTTTCTGTATTTTGTTGTTGTTGTTGTTGTTTGTTTGTTTTGTTTTGTTTCATTTCTGAACTCGGTCTTGGTGCCTTGCCATTCGACATGGTTAGTTGGTTGGATAAAAGAACAGGTTAAAACTGCTCTGGGACACAGGTAATGAGAGGCAGCTAACAGCCTCTTTCCTCTTCCAGTTGGATCCCGAGGGTTCCCAGAACCACAGGCTGCAAAGACGAGAAGCTCCAGGTCAGAGCCCTGCTTCCTCATGGCCTCAGATCCTGGTAAGTCATCCTGGGAATGAGGTCCAGGCCGAGAGTTGAGTACCTGTTGGGTTCTCAGAGCCACTAGAAGAGCAGAACTCCAGGTTCAAGCTTCCTTTCTTCTCAGAAATGCCCAGAGGTGGAGTGTTTCAGGCTGCGCTGTGAGCTCGGGCCACTCCATCGGCAAGAGAGCAGAAGTCTGCAACTGCATTTCCGAGTTGGGGCCAAGACCTTCCTGCAGGTAGGGGAGCTTTACCTCAGCCCTGACTCCGGACCTTTGGGCCTGCCTGGACCAACCTTCCCTTTCTCCACTGACCAAGCCACCACCACCTCCTTTGGGGAATAAGACCCAGGCACTCCAGCTCCCCTCCTGCCGTCGTTTACACAGGACTATGTGTTCTTGGCGCCACCTAGTGGCCATACTGGGAGTGACGGTTTCCCTCTCCCGGCCCATTCAGAGAAGGCGTGGGAGGGCTGGAGGGAGACCAGTATGCGCAGAATGATAGAACAACAGAGATGGAGGGTGAATCCACAGTGGAGAGGCAAGCAGGTGTAAGAATAGTAAAGAACAGTCATTTATTAAGTGTACATTATGGGCCAGGCATTGTCCTGAGTGCTTAACCCGCATTAATGATTCAAAAAAAAAAATTTTTTGACATGCAGCCATCTAATTATGCATTATTTAGTTATAACTATTAAGTTACACATCTATTATCTCATGTAAGGGACATAGAGATTCAGGAGAGAATGAACCCACGATAGGGAAAAATCACAACCTGAGCCAGACCATGGGAAGCACTATGTCCTCTAGATCCCAAGGGGGTGGGGGTGGGGTGTCTGAACACCTGTTCTCCACATACAGCGGGAGCACCAGCCATTTAGCCTGCAATGCGAAGCTGTGTACGAAGCCCTGAAGATGCCTTACCGAATCCTGCCTCGGCAACTTCCCCGAAAGGAACTTCAGGTGAGTCCAGGGCCAGAGGTCTAGGCCAAGGAAGAGAGGGCTCAGAGTGCTGGGCCTGTCACTATGACTGAGACATAAGTGGGGACTGGCTTTGTTATCATAACAAATATATATACTTTTTTAATTTTAACTAGGGAATTTTATTATATTAAGAATTTATAAAATGTTAAATTTCACTCTTAAAGTATTAAAGTAGAAACAAATTGTATGAATAAAAAAGTTCATTATTTTACTTATATATATTTATATGTGTAACAAATATTTATTGAGCATGTACTATGTGCCAGGCACTGTTCTAGGTCCTAGGGATATAATACTACGCAAGATGGATAGGACATCTTCACTCTTAGAGTTCACGATCTACCGGGCAATGAGAATACAGTATGCCAAGTGCCAGGATATTTGTGGGAAATATCATAGACACACTTGAACGCAGCCTTGCAGGATCAGGAAAGGCTTCCTGGAAGAAGTGATGTTTAAGCTGAGACCTAAACTATCAGGTCTCAGCTTACCAGTCAGGAAAGGAATATTCTCTGGAGAGAAAGAATTAGTAGGTGTGAAGGAATAATGCAGTGTAAGAATTCAAATACTGAAGTTCAGAATTCTGTTAGCCCAAGATGCGAAGTAAGAAGTGGATCTAGGTCCAGCAGCAACTAGGAGCCAAGTATAGGTGAGAACTAATGACTTTTCAGTGACCTCTCCTGACTTGCCCCTTAGGTGGCCACAGCTGTGCAGTGGACCAAGGCAGAAGGCAGCCACGGTGTCCCACTGTGGATTATTATCCTAGCCATCCTCATTGGCCTCCTACTCCTAGGTCTGCTCATCTACATCCTCTACAAGGTCAGCCATATCCTACTGGCGACTTGGCCACCCTCTCATCAGGTTCTGCCCTTGACTCAACACAATCCTGAACATCAACCTACAGACCAATTCTCCAGCCACATGTCCCGACCTGTGGCCACATGCCATATGCATCCCTTCCTGACCCTGCCTATAGGATTCTTCCCTTCATTCTATAGCCTCTATCTTAAAAAGAGTCTCTTGACTCAAACTGATAAGTTTGCCTATACTTGCAAAATCAGCGTTACTCATAGGTGGCAAATATATGGCTTTTGTGCTGTCGCTTCCTTTAAATACCCATGGCAGCCATCACTAATTGATCATACCCTAGAAGTGGCCTCAGAATCCTCAAGAGGCAGCCAATACTACACAATCAGACTTAGAACTTGAGATCAAATGTATTTGCTATCCCTGGCTTAACTGGAGGAATTTTTATGGCACCGATGAAAGACCCTCTTATACCAAAGCACCCCCAGCTTTAGCCCTCTTGGCCCATTGGACCTCTTAGAGAGGTAGACAAGATAGCCTGAATTTAGGCCACTTTTGCAAGATGGGGAGGTTGGAAGTACTAGTGTCCTCTTCATTCCCCCTTAGGATAATATCTGAAGAATGATGAGAGCCAGAGTATCTAAACTCTTCCTCCTTCCCCCTCCCTCCCTCCAATTAGCTCGGATTCTTCAAACGCTCCCTCCCATATGGCACCGCCATGGAAAAGGCTCAGCTCAAGCCTCCAGCCACCTCTGATGCCTGACGTTTCTCGAACACAGACTCCCAACCCTGAAGGCCCAGTCTCCCCACCCTCAGTCTGCTGACGAGGAGGGGGCTGAGTGCTTCCTGAAGGTGCTGAGGGCCAGGGAGAAGCTCCTCTCCCCAGCCCAGAGACATACTTGAAGGGCCAGAGCCGGGAGGTGAGGAGCTGGGGATCCACACTCCCATGCACTGTGAAGGACCCTCGTTTACACATGCCCTCCTCATGGATGGGGGAATTCAGATCCAGGGACAGAGGCCCCAGCCTCCCTGCAGCCTTTGCATTTTGGAAATAGTTTCCTGAAAACAACTTGGAACCAGAACTGGGGAATCCAATCCCAGTCCTCTGGGCCAGACTTCCCACCAGGACTTTCTGTCCAGCTCCAGCCTGCAAAGATCTGTCCTCCACTTTGCCAGAGATCCACAGGAAGCCTCCAGTGAAGAACCTGGAACCTGGGGAGTGAAACCTGGCAGCTCTGAACAGCCTCACCCTGGTGGGCCAATAAAAAACACTAACCGTGGATGGTGCCCCAGGACCAGCTCAGGACAGATCCCAAACAAGGATCGACACTGGCCCAGAACCAGCTCCAAGGTTGAATCAGAACTCTACTGGGTCCAGATCGAACCTGGGGCCTGAGATAGATCTGGGACCCTGACTCAGACTTTGGTAACCTAACCAGGCAATCCAGGACTACATTTGAGCCTGCTCCAGACCTGGGCTTGGAGGCCCAATCCACCTCTGACTCGGGAGAAGTCAGGAATTGCCCAGGACCTGAAGGGGCCATGATGGCAACACATCTGGAACCTCAGCCTGGCCAAAGGCAGGCCCTCCCAGTCCCCTGGAGAAAGGGGAGCCCACTGTCCTGGGCCTGCAGGATTTGGGTTCTGCCCTCCAGCTGCACTGACGCTGCCCTTCCTCTCCCTGCCCAACCCTTCCCTCACCTCAGCTCCGGACACCCGGGACTTATTTAAACTCTGTTGCAAGTGCAATAAACCCGGCCCGGTGCTCCCACTGACCAGAGCTGGAATCTGTCCTACCCCACTCCTTCCACACCCATCCTGGAACCAGACGGCCTGGTGGGTAGGAAAAGCCTATGTAGGTCTTCACAGCTTCTTTCCACTGAGAGCCAGGATTATGACCCCCAGGAACTCTGGAACTCGATTTTGGATTCCTTTCTCTTAGGTGAAAGAGAAGATAGAAAGAGTGAAAGGAGGGTTTGACTCCTTTCACCCAGCCCTATCAGATCTGGTCTCCAACACCTCCAAGAGAGAATGGAAAGAAATCTCTTCTCTTTGAAAAATAGGAAAGAATGCAAAGGGAGAGGTCCAGGTTGAAGGTGAGGGAAGATGATCCAGAAGACTCACCTGGGCTTCCCTAAATCAGGATAATGAAATAAGTTGAGAGAAAAAGCCACTAAACTAAATCAGAAGAAATCAGTTAGGGTATTGTTCTGTTTCATTTTTATTGCTTATTGTAAGCTGGTGGATCGTATACATACCTCACCTCACTTAATTTCTGTTAATAATTCTGTGAAGTAGGTGCAATTAACCCCATTTACACAAGGAAATTGAGGTCCAGAGAAGTTATGTAACTTGCCCAAGGTCACACAGTGAATACGAGAGCAGTCAGATTCAGCCTTGTCTGACTCCTTAACCAATGCCATAAGGGTCAGGTCTTTGTAGAGAAATCTAAATGAAGGAGCCTCTCAGGGTCCTCTGTGTCCATAAGGCCTGTCTTAATGTGCACCAAGAGGAAGGAGAGGGATGCTAAAATTCTAATGGGCTTGTAAGCAAAGATGGCCTTGTCATGCTGGACCAGAATTCAGCCACCAGAGGGCAGCATAGCTATGAATTTATGGGGATTTGGGGAAGGGAGTGTATGAGGTTCACCTCGCTATCTTCCCCCATCACAACAGCCATTATATTAACTTAGGCTCCTGCATAGCAGTGCCTGCATCACCTCAACATATCTCTCTTGGGAGACCAAGCCTGCTCCACACTCCAATCTGACTTCTTGAAGAAGTACCTCAGGAACTTCTTCCCAGAACCTATAAATGAAGAGGGACCGATAGGGGGGAAGAGACCTGTGGAGACAAAGAGCCACCCAGTATTTCCAAGGATAGCAGCCATGGTACAAGCAGGCGCTGGGAATTCTCAAGGAAGAAATCTCGTACTCCCCCTCTTGGGGGAGGGGCCGGAACGGCATCAGCTAAACTTCAGGGCCTGGGTCTGAGACTAGTGTGAGGAGGAAATGAGAAGAAGTGGACTGTGTGTATTGAGTTGGCATTATGGGTGTAGCTGTAGTTCCTATATCTTTGAGTCTCAGAGAGTGACAAGGTCTCTCCCGAGGATGCATAATATAAGAAAGGAATTCCTTAAAGAAATGCCAAAGATGTAATCTAGCACTAGCCCCTCTGTCCCTGAACTGTAATCTCAGACTCTGGTCTGTTTCCCCTTCCAGATCCTCCAGCCCCTCCAGAGCATATCTGCCTCCCATCTCTGAGACTTGAGTGATCCAGAGGTACATGAGGGTGAGGGGTCTGGGAAGCCTGAGCCCTATCTTTATCTGTGTTGGTGATGGAAAAGAAACCCTGGGAAGGAAACAGAGCAGCTGGGGGTGCAGGGTGGGGGAAGGGGCTCAGGAGAGGCAGCTGGCAGGCGGGAAGCTGATCTGGGGGTCTCAAGTTTCTTGACATCAATTAGAGCAGCCGGCCTAGGCTCATTAGTAGCCCGGGGTGCAGGGCTCATCAATAATGAATTCACCCCACACGCTATCCCCCCAGCTGCCTACAAGGTCACCCTGCCCTCCAGCCAGCTGCCTCCCCTTGATAAGCTAAGCAAAGCAACCCCTCTTCTGAGATCTCCCTAAACTCAAGAGTCCCTGGAGCAGTGTGGGAGGGTGGACAAGGCTAAGAGCAAAGGGGTCTCTATCACTGATCAGCCATGCCTGATGTTGACTCTTGTTTGTTCTTGGAGTCCACCCAAAAGGAGGAAGAATGGGAAGAGGCAAGAAGTGTATGTGTGGGGGTGGATAACAAGGTCTGGGGAGAAGCAGGCTTTGTAATGCTATGGTTGGATGACATGGTGGTAGGTCGGATCTGGAGCAAGAGGACCTCCTCTGATGGGCTCAGAAAACCTATCTTCTCCCCCAGGGTGAGACTTGGGCAGCAAGGCCACAGTCTCCTGAGATCAACAAGGGATCAGCACCCCCAGCATTTATTTGCCCTTGAGCTAGAACATCTTGGCAGGTGCAGAAACAGGACTTTTCTTTAAAACAGATCAGTGGGGTGAGGGCAAGAGATTGCTGAGGCCCAGAAACAGGAACTTGAACTTCCTGTACCTTAATTAGCCATCTAGTCCCAACTTCCTTGCAGAACCCAGGAATCCCAGTCCCCAGTCTCTTTCCCCTTCCTAGACCGTTCCAAGATTCCAGTCCCACCACCCTTCCACCGACCTCTTCTTTCCTGCCTCCAGCCTCCCTAAACCCTAAGTGTTCCGGTTCCCAGTCACACCTCCTTTCCTTCTGGCTGGGGTTGGCCTGATGCTGGCGGCTTGGCATTCTGGGAAGACCTGCTGCCACTCTCCCTCTTTGGGGCAGGTACAGACAGGTCCAGGCTACAGCAGCTGCATCTTCCCCAAACACCTCACAGATTCAGACTCTCGCCTCGTGCTGGCGTCCCAGTTGTCTGCCTGCAGTCAAGTTCTTTTGTTGGTCCTTAGAATACATCCAGTGTCTTGTACTCCACCTCCCCTTCCCCGACATTCTTCCCAGCCCATACATTCTGTCCTATCCTCCATCTTCTCCTACACTTCACCAAACGCCAGTCCTCTTCAATCCAATTTCACCTTAGTGGGGAGTGTCCTGGGTTCAGGAGCCGGATAGATAATCCTGTCCCCACCCCAATCCAGGTTATCTACAAGGCTGAGCCTGAGTTCTGGATCTTCTGTCATCTTCTGGTTGCCCTAACAGTCTCAGTTGTAAGCTTCTATTCCCACCTCTTTGGGTCCATTGATTGCAATCTCTTCACTAAGACCTTCCCTGAGGACCTAGGCATGCCAACCCTAGCCACAGGTCAACCTGGTATCCATCTTCAACCCCACATTTCACCACAGACCAGCCCCCCGGGGCATCCTGCTCCAAAGAGAGAAACAAGCTAGGACAAACATTCTCTGCATGCACCCTCCGCCCCTGCCCAGCCATCACTTTGGAGAAGACTCAGGTGACCCACTCGACCCAGGCCCCATTTCTCCCCAGAGCACTTAGGCATCCCCCTCCCCATATCAGCTCATGACCAGACTCAGCCCTTGCCAGGAACCCAGGCATCTTAGTTTTCAGTTTCTTTTATCGTCTCACACCGTCTTCTAGATGTCTTGTTCTCCAGCCCTGGCTGCAGTGACACTAAATGCAGGAGACCCAGGGGCAGCAACTAAAAGAGAAAGCGAGAGGGGGCGAGGAGCCGCCAGGACGCCCCCTTATGGAGCCCTGGGTGCCCTGGTCCCCCCTCCTCCCGTCTTCACCTGCTACGGGCTCCGCCCCCGCTCCGCCTGGGCCGGCCTCTGCTCCTCCCCCGACTCCTCCCCCCGTACCCCCAGCCGGACCAGAACGGCCCCCGGGACAGAGCGGCGTGGAAGCCCGGGCACCTGGGTCCCCAGCATGATCCTCGGTGAGTGGGCTCTACGGCTCCAAGCTCCAGGCTCCTGGCTCCCTCTCAGTAGGTCACCCTCCCCAACCTCCCGGCACCGCGGTGACTGCTGCCGCCCGTCAGCGACCGGTTCCCCCTCCCCCTTCATCTGGCTCCACATCTGGGGTCCTCTCTTCCCAAACCTGCCGCTTCTCCTGGCAATATAAGGAGTGATAAAGGGGCAGGCAGAGCCGAGTGAGACCCCTGCCCCATAATGAGAACATTGCGTATTCATGAGGCTCATGAATATTATATGACAGTCTATGGGAGGCTGGGGGAGGGGGCTGGTCCTGACCTGGTGGAGTTGAGGGGAAGGTTCTGACCCGTCCACCCCACCCCCACCCCCATTCCCAGCGCCTTCCCCCACCCTTAGATCTGACACTCCGACATCCTTCTGGGCCCAGGATAAGAGGGAAAGGAGGAAGTGGGGGGCGGTCGGGGAGGGAGGGAGAAGATGGTGGGTGTAGCTTCGAGGTGTGTGTGGTGAGAGGTGGGGGAACCTGAAAGCTGGAGATAAGGGGGCTGTGGAGAAGAAGGGGTGGGAAACTGTCTATCCCAGGGCCCTGCGGTTCAGATCCTGTCTCCGCAGCCATCCTGCCCCAACACGCCGAGACCTGCCCCTCTCTCCCTGCTCTGGCTGCCTGGGCCCTTCTTTCCCGGCTTCCTTCTTCTTCCTTCTTCCCCCACCCCATCCCCACCCCTGCCTTGAGGGTGGCGGGCACTAGGAGAGGAAGGGGCAACAGAGAGAGTAAGGATGGGGGAAGGGAATTCCCCTGGGGCTCTGACAGCCCTTCAGCCACTGCCACCCCATCCCCATGACCTACATCGGAAGGGAGCCCCCAGGTGGTGGAGGAGAGGGATAGAGGAGCTGTGTGCTGGACTCATCAGCTGGGCTCCCGCCCCTGCCTCCAACTAGTACACAGGCCTGCTCTGTCCTCTGACCTCTGACTTCTGCCCTGGCTAGGTGGGTTCCTGGACTTGTTTACTGGTGGGAGCCCCCCCAACCAGGCCCTGCCCCGCACTGGGGACGCCAGCTCCATGATGGTGCCTCAGAGCTTGCCTGGCTCCTGCCTAAGCACTCGACTCTTTGCCTCCTCGGCCCTTTTGCTTTTCATCTCTCATTTGACCCCTGTCGACTTCACTCTAATGGCCTTTCCTCCCTTCTGCACACCTTCCGCCACCTCTTTCTCTCCCCTTACTGAATCTCCTCACCACTTTATGCCTGACCCCCTCCACCTGGCACTTCATCATATCTATTACATGAATGAAGGAACGGATGGTTGCCTGCCTCCTTCCCAAAAGTATCTCTAGCAGGAAAGAGATTCTCACTCATCTATGAAGATTACCCTAGAGTGACCCTCACCAACACACCTTGGACTCGGGTCCCCAGAGCACAGGCTCCACATTCCTCCAACCTCTGCAATCCCTGTATGCTGGCCCCACCCTGGACATGGGCCCCACCCCGGGCAAGGCCCCACCCAGGCATGGGCCCCAAAGGCAGCATCATGCTTGCCCAGAACAGGCTAGTGTGAGCCGTGCACCTCCCCTGTTCAGGGACCTACTCAAGCCTGGTCAAGATCCCACCACAGGGAGAATGCCTGGACCAACCAAATGGACTACCCCAGCTTCCTGGAAGATACTGTAAATAACTCTTCTTGTGCCCAGCCCACAGAAGGGTGGGAAACCTGGCGGCCCACACACCTTAGCCCTCTTCGAGAAAAGGAGAGAGGGAGGAAACTGCCACCTTAGGCTCAG